AATTCCAAAAAAAAAGTTTTTAATTCAAAATTCAATTTTTCAATTTTTTTCAAATGTTTCGAAATTCTTGAGCTTCTATATTTCAGAATTTTTGCATTATTCATTTTTTTCAGAAATGGGTGATCTGGAAACCACGTCTTCGTCGGATGGCCATTCCACTGGAAAACTGCGTCACGGGTCCAATGATACCGAAGAAAGAGTCACTTTTTCGACAACTTTGGATGATGGTAAGTCTTTCAATTTTTTCTGAATTCAAAAATAACTAAAAAACTTGAATTTCTCGCGTCCAGAGCTTCAAAATGAGTATAAACATGAACATATTCTGAAAACTTTTAAATTGGGTATTGTAAAACTACAGTAACTCGCTCAATTTTGAGCCAAACTTGAAAATGTTAAAATTTTTGAATTTTTTAACACCACATTTAAAGGCGCATAACTCAAAACCCAAAAAAACTATCAAAAAGTAATCAACCACTTAATTGCTCAACATAAAATTTTAAACATTTTTGTAGTTTATCACTTTTTGATATCTCTAACGGTTTCTGAGATATGCGCTTGTAAAGTCAAGGAGAGATGCTTCTCTGCGTCTCTCCTCCATTTTAAAGGCGCATATCTCAAAAACCATGATAGTTTCAAAATTTTGTAAACCACAAAAATGTGTAAAATGTTATTTAAGATATTTTTGTAGTTTGTAGTTTTCTTGTAGCCACAGTAGTTGTGTTGAAATGCGCCTTTAAAATAAGCGTTCTAGGTGATTTTTCAAAATAAAAATTTTTAGAAATCAAATTTTCTTGAAAAATTTTTTTCCGTCAAATATGGAAAAATGGAAGGAAAATAAGGAAAAAATGATCAAAAAAGAGATTAGAAAACGAAAAATGACGAAAAATTATGGGGAGAATTTTTTGTGCGATTTTTTTGTCGCCCCAGGAAAAATGATGGATTGGAATATCTGGAAGACATTGGGACATACAAAAACTGACATTTTTTGAAAATTGAAATTTTAAAAAACCAGAAAATTCAAATTCGTTAGGTTTTCAGCTTCAAAATGAGTTTAAACATGACCATATTTGGAAATTTTCGAAATTTGCAATTTTTGAAAGGTATACTGTAAAACTACCGTAACGAGGGTTGGTTTCAATCTGAACTGAAATTGTTAAGCAGTTTTAGATTTGCAATAACCAAAGCTGCAAAATAAGTTTAAACACAACTACTTAGATTTGGTTGATTTTGAAATTTTCGATTTTTCAGAGAGGGACCAGCGAAAATTTGAGAAAAATTGAAATTCAGAAAACCAGATTGTGTTTATACTCATTTTGAAGATTTGAACAAGACCATTTCAAAAATGTACACTTTTTTGGGTTCGGATGAAAATCTGAAAAGTTACTATAGTTCGAGGCAAAATTCGAAACAAGATAATTTTAGAGTCTCAACTGTAAAACTACCGTAACTCGGTCAGTTCCAGTCCAAATTTGAGATTTAAAAAATATTTGCTTTTGACCTGGAAAGCGCTTCAAAATAAGTATAAACATGACAAGATTTTTGGAATTTTGTTTTTGAATTTTTGAAAAAAAATTTTTGGAATATTTTTCAATTTGAATGCTTTGTTTTTTGGGAATTTCCAGGTCACCCATAAAAATTGCATTTTTTCCAGAGGATTTATTTTCAGCAAAACTAGAATTTGTCTTTTTATTTTTGTTTTTTTTTTGTGCTCTTCAAGGAAAAAAAAACAGAACCAAAAAAGAGAAAAAAAGAAGAATAAGGCTCTTCTTTTCCCTCATAAATGATATATTTTGATGGGAAAGAGAGGGTGCCTTCTTCTCCTTTTTTCTCGAAATTTCGAAAAAAAACACACAAACCAAAAAAAAAAAGAAAAGGAACTTTTTTGCTGGTTTCTTTTCTGGTTGCGTGTCTTTTGGTCATTTATCAGGAGAGAGAGAGACGCAGAGAAAAACGAAAAACACATTTTTCGAATTTCTCTTGTAAAATGCTTCAAAATAGGTCATTAAAGGTGGGGGGAGATGAAAAAAATAATGTTCTCGAAATTTCGTTCAAATATGCCCCTCGAGGAGTTGAACGTGTGGGGCGAGGATTGAGGGTGCGGCGCCGCTACCGACTGAGCTACACGGGCAAAGAGAAAGCGCACTCCCGATTGCATACATAAAGGCGAGGACGACAGCTGTACGCAGAGTGACATTAAGCGTTGTACACCGTCACGGTAGAATGCATACTCTGGCCCCAAAAATCCCCCGTAAAATCTCCTGTCCCCCCACCTTTAACATGACCAGGTTTGGATATATATTTTGAAAACTGAAACTTTTTGGGCTTTTTTTTTGCTCAACTACCATAACTCCTTTGATTCTGATTCAAACTCAAAAATTTTTGCATTTTCAAGTTTGCCTTGTAGCACGCTTTAAAATGAGTATAAATAAGTCCAGGTTTTATCAATTTTGATTTTTTGAAATTTTTTGCTGGACCCACTGAAAAATCGAAATTTTCAAAATCAACTGAATCTAATCGTCTTTAAACTCATTTCCAATCGCTAGATTTGCCAAGTCTAAAAATGTCGATATTTTTTTAGTTTGAAGCAAAACTAGCCGAATTACGGTAGCTTTGCTTTGATATCTTTATACTTTCGAACTTTCGCCCGAATCACCGTAACTTTGGTCATTCTGACCAAAACTCGAAAATTTTAACAGTTCTGGATTAGTCTGGTTTTAGGCTTCAAAATGAGTATGAACAAGCCAAGGTTGAAGCCAAGCCAAGTTTGGCTAGAGTGCAGAGAAGCGAGACACACTGCGTCTCTAACCATTAAAACCAGAATTAGCGGAGCATAGTCGTGTTTATACTTATTTTGAAGCACAAAACAGATAAAATCTTAAAATCAAAAAAAATTTTCAGTTTAGATAAAGATTGACCGGGTTACGGTAGGTTAACTGAAAATGACCAAAACTGACACTTTTCTGAATATGGTCATGTTTATACTCATTTTGAAGCTGAAAACGCGCTGAACTCGAAAATTCAAATTTCAAAATCAAGCAATCAATTATTTTCTAGATTTTCCAGAAAATTAAAATTGCAAAAAAATGTCGAGAAACTTTTTTTGCTCATCCTAAAAATTGGAAAAAAAAGAGGAAAAGAGAGGGAAGTGTTGATTGGCTCTTATTAGATTCAGTTTGAGAGCCTCTCGGAGCCGCCCAAGTGTATATAAGAAGAGGGAGAAGAAGAAGAAGAAAACCTAAATGAGGCTTATTTTTGGAAAAATTGGAAATATAGAGAAAAATATAAATTTTGCAGAAGATGTGAATTCTTTTTTCTGCACTGCACTTTTAGAATAGTGGATTTGGTCTTAATAGAATGAAGAAATCAAAGGATATTAACGGTTTTCGGGATCAAAATTTAAAAATAATTTCAAACTAAAACTTTAAAATGGCTCAAACTTTTTTTTTCAATTTTCATTTAAACAATTTTTGAACTAAAATTTGAGTTTGGCTTGTTAATAGATTCAAAATAAGTATAAACAAGCCTAGTTTCGAGAAAATAGGCCTTTGGCGATATTTAGTGTCAGACTGTTAAACTACCGTAACTCGGTCAGTTTTTGTCCAACCCCAAAAAATGTTACCTTTTTCGAACTCACTAAAAAAAAATTTGAAATTTATGAAAATTTTCAAAAGTAGTCGTGTTTACACTCATTGAAAAGCGCTAACTGTTACAAACTCAAAAATACAAAAATCGTCGAGTTTGGTCTGAAACCAGCTGGGATACGGTTGTTTTAGAGTGCAGAGAAACCAGACACACTGCGTCTCTAACCCTCAAAACTCGAAATGTTCGGAAAATGTTTCTTAGTCATGTTTATACTCATTTTGAAGTTCTAAAACTGAGAAATCTAAAAATTATCAAAATTTTGAGTCTGGACCAAAACCAGCTGAGATACAGTAGTTGACACAAACAATGTGAAAAAAACTAATTTCTCTAAACGTAGGCATCTTTATACTCATTTTGAAGCTCTCAACGCGGCAAATTCAAATTTTTGTTTTTCAAAAAAGATGAGCAATTTTCCAACGGGATTTTTGATCTCCAAAGCTTTTCCTCTCCAGATGTCCCCCTCTCCCCCTTCCACTTAAGTATCCATCTAATTAGGACGTAAAAGAAGACAATTTCAATGGGAATTGAAAATTGAAAGACACCAAAAAAAAATGAGATCGCTAAGAGCATTTCAATGAAAAGAGGCTCTTTATGTGAGGAGGTGCCAAATGGGGGAAAATTTAGAAAAAGGAAAAATTGGCATAAATTTTCCGGGGGTTTTTTGGCTTTTTGCGCTGAAAATTTGAGCCAATTTTTGGCCAAGAAAATGAGAAAAAAATGATACGAGATTTTTGTACAATTTGCAGTTCAGATTTTCAAAAAATCCTAATTTTCAAGGGAGTTGCAAAACGAAGTTCAAAAGATTCAAAAAATGGATTCAAACTACCGTAATTTTTCTGATTTCAATCCAAACTCAAAAATTAGTGAATTTTCGAATTTGTTTATCTGAGGGCTTCAAAATGAGTATAAATACGACTAGTTTTGGAAGATTTCGAATTTTTCAACTGTTTTGGGTCCCACCACAAAAACCCAAATTTTCAATTTACACAAAAACTAGTCGTGTTCATACTCATTTTGAAGCTCTTGACACGAAAAAAATTGAAAATTGGATAATTTTGTGATTTGAACCAAAACCATCCGAGATATGGGCTAGTTTCAATTGTGTTAAAAATTTCAAAAACTTTAAAACTGTCCCAACTTTTTTATTTCTTAACAGATTTCTGAGATTTTTAGCTTATTGCATTTCATCAGCAAAGGGCTTCGAAATGAGTATAAACATGACTAGGTTTTGGAAAATTTAGAAAAACGATTTTTTGGGACCCACCACGAAAACTGAAAATTTCAAAATTCATCAAATCCAGGCGTGTTCATACTCATTTTGAAGCTCTCAACACGAGAAAAACGTAGGTTCTTGAAGTTTTCGTTTTGGACCAAAACCTGCTGAGATACGGCAGTTAGAAAGAGCAGAGAAACCAGACACACTGCGTCTATAACCTTAAAACTCAACGTGGGCGGAGCCTAGTCGTGTTTATACTCATTTTGAAGCTCTTGGCGTGAGAAATTCAAATTTCAGAGTCTTGAATCCTAAAAATTGTCTGAAAAAATTTTTGAAAAAAAAAATTAAAATCAAAAAACTTTTATTTTTACTAGAAAAAAGACGATAAAAAAAGAAAAAAGAAGCAGAGCGGGTTGGGGGATGGGGGCTTGTTGAAACCTGTAATTTTATGGGTGTAGATAAAAAAGTGGGCGTGGCCTAAGTGGATGGGGTGGAAAACCGAAAATTTTGATAAAATAGGGAATTTTGAGCCATGGAAAAACGAGGGAACTGGGCAAAAAGGGGATAGAAATTTGAAAAAAAAACGGATTTTAAAAAGTCTTCTAATACACGTAATCATAAAGGAATATAGGTCAGAAAATAAATCTGAAGTTTTCAGAAAAAAAAATTCCGAAAAAAAATTTTTCTGATTTTTTTTTTTCGAAAAATTTCAAAAACATTTTTTTATAAAGAAAGAATTTGTTTATTAAGTATACACCATTCGTCGGTTACTGTTCGATTGTCGCATACAGTAATCATCGACCAGATTCGTCGACGATGACGAAAAATCGGCGTTGGCCAGCGAGGCGGACGGCCTGGAGACCAGCTTTTGAACTTGATACAGTGATATGTTGACGTCTCGGAATAGTTGCATCTGAAAATTTGCAAAATTCCAGAAAAAAATGACCACCAATTGACTTTTTGAAAAAATTTGAAAAAAGTGAAAAACCAATTTTTTTTTTCAAATTTCAATTTTTTCGAAATGTTTCACAGATTCCTCCTTTTCAAGCCATTTCAGGCCGTGGTATCAATTTTTATCAGAATTGGATGATTTTGAAATTTTTGGAAAAATTTTCGAAAAAAAAAATTTTTAGCTCATTTTGGCTCAAAATTTTCCAATTTTTTTGGCTAAAAATGCTCACCTGGAAAATGCCAATAATCGTTGTCAGGAATCCAACAAAATTTCCAATCACATCCGACGCGCCCAGGCACGACCATTCTTTGTACAAAATCGACGATGCCAAAATGACAAAAGTGGTGAAGAAGACGTAATAGATCGGTGTGACCATTGAGGTGTTGAAAATGTCCAACGCTTTGTTCAGATAGATCAACTGGACCGATACACACATCGCGACTGATGCTAGCCAAAAATATGTTAGCCAATTTGTGAATTGTTGATGCCCGGAGAGAGTTTCCTGGAATAAAATGGGGGTTTTGGGTGGAAATGGGAAAAAAATTGAGAAAATTGAGCCATAATTGTGACAAAATGAGCAAAAATGACACTAGGAAACTTTGCAAAAATGCGATTTTTCAACATTTTGGTACTGCATTTTTGAATTTTGCTACTGCTTGGCAGTAGCAAAATGGGACAAAGCAGCGTTTTCGGGTCTTTTTTCGGTCATTTTCGGTTTTTTGTCAAACTAGGAATTCGAAAATATCAAAAATCCAAGAAAAAAGACGAAAAATGAGTTGAAAAATAAAATTTTTCCAAATTTTGGTACTGCTTTCGCCCATTTGATACTGCTAAGCAGTACCAAAATGGAATTTCGACACTGCTGGGCAGGTGCAAAATTCTCGATTTTCGGATTTTTTTCGTTCAATTTTTTTGAATTTTCGGGTTTTCTTTTGGAAATTCGTTTCTTTTATGAAATTACGACTTTGAAAATATCGAAAAACCCGAGAAAAAAGCGAAAAAAATGCCGAAAAATAGGACTTTTTCAATTTTGGGTTCTAATATGAATTTCGAATTCAGAAATCCGAAATTCACGGAAAACTCGAGAAAAACGACAAAAATGAGCCGAAAATCGTTAACTTTGGTACTGCATTTTTGAATTTTGGTACTGCTTGGCAGTAGCAAAATGGGCGGAAGATAATGAAAAAAAGATAATGAAAAAATAGCATTTTTTCAGTGTTTTTGGGTCTTTTTCGCTCAATTTTTTAAGTTACCGGTTTTTGCCTGAATTTGTTCTTTTATAAAAGTAGGAATTTAAAAATATCCAAAAAAAAACCCCCGAAAACAGCTAAAAATAAGCTGAAAATTGTTATTTTTGGTACTGCTTTGCCTATTTCGCACCTGGCCAGCAGTACCAAATTTCCAAATTTTCGGGGCGTTTTCACTCGAATTTCATGATTTTCGTCTCATTCTTTTGGAAATTTTTACTCACCTTAATAGCCAATCCCAACCCTTTCACCGAGAGCACGGACAGCGATCCAATCAGCGAACAAACCGAAATGTACACCAAAATATTCGTATGACCATATCTCGGCGCCACATAGACCACAATGAATCCCGTCGCCAGAATCACCAGTATTACGTAGATCAAGAATCCGGCGTCCTTCATTTTCAGCGCCAACTCGGCCATCGATCCCACTTCCTCTTCTTTCGGCGAATGAATAACGATTACTGTAGATCCTAGAAGACAAAGAGCACATCCGATGGAGCCGAGAAGATTCAGACGTTCGTTAAGCATTCGCGATGAGAGGATTGCACTGAAAATTCGAATTTTGGGGGTTCAGGGCCAAAAACTATCATTTTTCAGTTGAAAATTTCAATTTTGGCACTGCCGGGCAGGTGCTAAATGGGATTTTCAGTGTGCACATTTTGCTCCTGCCCAGCAGTAGCAAAATTTTGAAAAATCGCATTTTTCCAGTATTTTTGGGTCATTTTGCCTCGATTTTCTAATTTTCCTGATTTTTCTATGAATTTCGTTTAAGGAATTCGAAAATGGTTTTAGATCCCCGAGAAAAACGGGGAAAATAAGCCAAAAATTGTTAAATCTGGTACTGCTCTGCCCATTTTGGTACTGCGTAGCAGTAGCAAAATAGGCGAAAGCAGTACCAAAATTTGAATTTTTAAAGTTTTCTAGGGTCATTTATGCTCAATTTTCATGATTTTTTCTCATTTTTTGTACATTTTAAAATCTAAGATAAAATTCCAATTCATTTTCAGCCAAATTTCAGCCAAAAAACTCACGTAACAATGACAGAAAGCGCGCCAAGCGGTGTGACCAGAGACGCCGGCGCAAATGCATATGCAGCGAAATTGCACGCTTCACCAACACCCACTGAAAAGAAAACGATGTCTGTGCGTCCGGATGTCCTCAAACTCACTAGTAATAACACCCATCCACCACATCCATTCTCTCAAATATCCATAACCGCCTTCTGATGCTCGCTGTGACGTGTCACCCGACGCCAGCTTCAATAACGCCTTCTTTTTGATAATAAACGAACTTCCGATGAATAACGAAGAGCTGACGGCAAGACCGAGGCCAATGTAGAAGTCGGTGGAGGCGTAATGCACTGAAAAATATTGATTTTTTTCGCGATTTTGGTACTGCAACATTTTCGATTTTTTCGTTCAATTTTCTAAATTTACTGAATTTTCGGTTTTTTATCAAACTAGGAATTCGAAAATATCAAAAATCCAAGAAAAAAGACGAAAAATGAGTTGAAAAATAAAATTTTTTCATATTTTGGTACTGCTTTCGCCCATTTTGATACTGCTGGGCAGGTGCAAAATTCTCAATTTTCGGGTTTTTTTTCCGTTCAATTTTCTGAATTTTCGGGTTTTCTTTTGGAAATTCGTTTCTTTTATGAAATTAAGACTTTGAAAATACCGAAAAACCCGAGAAAAAAGCGAAAAAAAGGCCGAAAAATAGGACTTTTTCCAATTTTGGTACTGCATTTTTGGATTTTGCACTTGTCCGGCAGTAGCAAAATGGGATTTTAGTACTGCCTTTGCCACATTTTCAGCAATTTCAGACTAAAATTTTACTTCGAAAAATCGACTCGTCACCGGAAATATCGCCAAAATCCACAAATTCCGAAATTTCGTTGTCAATTATTGCATTTTTGAATTAAAAAATAAATTAAAAACTGGCGAATTTAGAGCATGGGAACATAGAAATTGGGCAAAAAGAGAGCTCTGATAAATCTAGTTGAGTGGAAATTCGGCGAAAAAAATTAAGAAAATCACGGAAAATTGAGATTTTGGTACTACCGGGCAGTAGCAAAATGAGCGAAAGCAGTACCAAATGTGAGGGTTTTCGGTATTTTTTTGCATTTTTCGGGGTTTTTCGATAGATTTTTTTATTAAAGAAAACGTTTGGGAAAAAGAAACCAAAAATTCAGAGAAAAAAATGAGCGAAAAAGACCCAAAATTCGACTATTTTGCTACTGCCCAGCAGTGTCAAAATCCCATTTCGGTACTGCTGGGCAGTAGCAAAACTTGAAAAAGCAGTACCAAAAACAGATTATTTCTAATTTTTCTCATCTTTCACCGGACCAAACTTTTTCTAAATCCATTTCTAGGGTTTCCAAACCCTCTGAATCCAAATTTTCAGCCTAAAAACCCCCTAAAACTACCTTCATCCAACGTATTCACGTTTCCTATCGCCGTCACCGGATCCGCTGGTGTTGGGAACCCGTTCGAGGATGAAGCGATCGATGCCATGCTGAAAAATATTAATTTTAATTTGCGGAAATCCGGAAAAAACTGACAGACAGACAGAATTTATCAAAAATTTCAAGAAAAAAAAAGAAAGACGGAACCCAATTTCCGCATGTTCAGCTCATATAATCTATGGTCGGATGGAGCAGCCAAAAATTTGACGTCACAATTTTTTTTGCAGAAAACATATAAATATAGGTCTCCTATTTTTGGTATTTGTGATGTCAGAGATGGCTAAAGGCTCCAATGACTCCCCAAAAAATATTGCCTATCTTATCAATTCGTAGTTTGTAGTCTAGGGGCATTTTGTGCTCTTTATGAGCACAAGACGAACCGATCTATCTTATCAATAATCAATTTTTCACCTAAAAAGTGTGTTCTAGAACTTTCTAAAGAGGAAAACCACGAGTTTTGATTGATGAGAAGAGCGGTGAAATTTGTTTACTTTTTCTAGTTTTTCCAAGAAAACAGGTGAAAAATGAGCGAATTATATGGAATTTGAGGCATTTTACGAGATTTTTGGCAACGAAAACAAAGAAAAATCGAGATTTTGGTACTGCTTTTTTATATTTTGGTACTGCCGGGCAGGTGCAAAATGGCCAAAAGCAGTACCAAAATCTCAATTTTTCGTAATTTCTCGGTTTTTTCCGATCGATTTTCATTTTTGGGTTTTCTTCTATACATCTTGTTTCAGTAAAATTGAAAAAATCGAAAAACCCAGATTTTGCAATATATAGGAAAGCAGTACCGAAATCAATGGTTTTCAGCTCATTTTTCGTCTTTTTTCTTGAATTTCTCAATATTTTCGAATTCCGAAACAAAATTTTTAGAATAAAGCCCAAAATTTTGCATTTTCCGGGTCGGAATTTCCCAAAAAAACGTTGAAAAGTCAAAATTTCGAAAACTAAGTGCCAAAAAAGTGTTATCAGTACTCTCTGTGACGCTCTATTTGGTTTGGGCACATACACACACACACACGGGTTGTAATATGTGTGTATAATGTCGAATGCAGAGTGTCAGGTGATAGGAAATTGAGAAAAAATGTGGGAGTAGAATATTTCGAGCCCAAAAATCGCTAAAATCAGGTTTTCAGGTGGTTAAGCAGTACCAAATTTTAAATAGACCAAAAATCACCCAATTTGCAGCCTGAAAAACAAAACTTTCGTTTTTTTACTAGAGCACTTTTTCTGATCTCTAATCAGTCGAAAATGTGTGCGTCAGGTGATTCGAGAAGAAAAATACGTCACGGAGAGTACGAAAAATTTGTATTAAACCAAGAAATGAGTCAAAATTTTTTTTTGAAATTTTGGTAAAAAATGTCAGGAAATTAGAAAATCTTGCTTTTTGGTATCTTTTTCAGACTATGACTCAAAACACGAGCCTTCTGACTAATCGAACTCAGAAGTTCTGAAAAATTTCAAAAATTCTAAAAAAGAAGAATCACTAAAACTACAAAATATCACAGGAATCATAGTTCAGTTATAGAAAAAACGGGAGAAAAAGAAATTTGCATAATCCGAATGATTAGGGCACAAAAAATGTGTGTGTGGGGAAAATGAGAAAAACTGCAGTACTAAAAAACGAATTTTGACTTTCAACTAGATTTTTATAGACATTTTACCCTGGAAACTGGCACAAAATGAGTTTTTTAAAGACTAGGAAGTGATTTTCAAAGAATTTTAAGTAGATTTTAACCTGATGCGAAAATTCGCGATTTTGCTACTGCCCGGCAATAGAAAAGCAGTACCAAAATCCCATTTTGCTACTGCTGGGCAGGTGCAAAATGGGCCGGAGCAGTACCAAAATTAACGATTTTCGGATTTTTTCGCCATTTTTCGAGTTTTTTTAAAACTTTCGAATTCATGAATAAAGTTCATAGAAGAAAACAGAGAAACTTTAAAAATTGAGTGGATAAAAACCCAAAAACACTGAAAAAAATAGATTTTTTCAAAAATTTGGTACTGCTTGGCAGGTGCAAAATATAAAAAAGCAGTACCAAAATTCGAAATTTTCAACTTTTCGACTTTCGGATCTTTTTCACCGTCCAGAAACCTATTATTTCTGAATTTTTTGCTATAAATTAGTCTGAAACGGCCTAAAATGCCGAAAAGACTCCAAAAACCGACCTAAAAATGGAAAGCTACAATTCTTAGAATAAAAGACCTCCTATGATGATAGCGGTGACAAAAAGAAGGAAAAAAGAATTAGAGAAAAAAAGGAAAAATAACGTAGCTTATGACATAAAGCCATGGTCGCCATGGGAGACCGCCGCTCGCGCTTTTTCCCCCCGTTGAAATTAGATTTTTCATGAAAAGTGAGCTTATATAGAAAAGCATAGATCAGCATCACATTCTAAGGAAGCTTCAAAAATTAATTAGTTAATTCCAGAAAAAATTGCGGTTTTTCGTTGCTGAAAATTGAAATTTATCAACAAAAATTTTTTTTTGGTACTGCTTCTTGAAATTTGCTACTGCTAAGCAGTACCAAAATCTCAATTTTTCGTCATTTTTTGGGTTTTTTTCCGATCAATTTTCTGAATTTTCCCGACATTTTTCTATAAATTTTATATCAGGAATTCGAAAAAACTAAGAAAAACCGAGAAAAAAGGCGAAAATAAGCCGAAAATCGTTAGTTTTGGTACTGCTTTTTGGATTTTACTACTGCCCAGCGGTGTCGAAATCCGATTTTGATACTGCTGGGCAGTAGCAAAATTTGAAAAAGCAGTACCAAAAATTAGAATTTCGCTATTTTTTCTACAAAAAAAAACACTCTAAACCGCCTAAGATATTTTGTGCGTCAGCGAAAAAAACGGAAATTCAGATTTTCAGACAAAACAGATTATAGACTAAAAATGATCCTGGACGTCAGATAGCGAAATCTGGAATCAAAAATTGGCCCAAATTTAGGCTCCGCCCATTTTTCGAGAGGCAAACTTCAGAGCACATATCACATATTCCATATCACAAGCACATATCACAGAAATTAGTAAAATTGGAGAAAAAAAAATCAAAATTTGAAAATTGAAAATTTCCAAATGCGCTCTACTAAAATCTAGTGAAATTTTCAACTTGGCGCCATTTTTTCAGACTTTTCAGGGGATTTTTAGAGGATTTAGGCCGAAATACTCAAAAAAAAATTGGGAATATTTTCTGCTCAAATTTGACCGATTTCTGGCGGGATTTTTTTTCAAAACTTAAACTCCGCCCCTTAAAAGTGGGGCTGTTCTAAACTACATATCACGGAAAAGTCACAAAATGGAGGAGCTAAAAGAAGAAGAAAACTAAGGAGTACTGTACTAATAAAAGAAAGAGAGAAGTCTGCCAAAAAGACAAATAGAAAACTAGAAATGACTCAAAATGCTCTCTGGGTCTCTCATTCTCTCTCTCTTTTGAAATAAAAATCAAATAGTTTCCCGAATTTTTGAAGGGAGAGAGAGAGAGTGACGATTGTCAGAGAGACGCAAACAGTCAGAGAGTATGTGACTAATTTGTCACAAAACACAGTATGATTTTGGTGGAAAAAATAAATGGTTTTGAACTTTTTGAAAAAAAATTCGAATTTGGTACTGCTGGGAAGGTGTAAAATTTAAAATCCTATTTTTCAGCTCATTTTTTCCCGTTTTTCTCTCTTTTTTCGATATATTCAACCTTCTGGGATAGAATTTACAAAAAAAACCCCCCAAAAATCGGAAAAAATGAGTGAAAAAACCCAAAAATCGAAAAATTTGCACATGCCCAGCAGTACCAAAATTATCGACTTTTGGCTGTTTTTTCACATTTTTTCTGGTTTTTCGATATTTTTGAATTTTTGAAATAAAATTTATAGCTGATAAAAGGAAAAAAAAATCAAAAAATGGAGTCAAACTGACTTTGAAAATAGCTAAAAATTGCTCTAAACCTTGAATTTGGGGTACTGTTTCCGCCCATTTAGCACCTGCCAAGCAGTAGCAAAATTTAGAAAAGCAGTACCAAGTTTTTTTCGTTGAAAAAATCGGGAAAAAAAGTCTGAAAATAGCCTCAAATCGGTTGGAATGGGTTTTGAAAAATTGAAAAAAAGTGAAATTGCTCAAAAAATTGTTTTTCAAGTTTTTTAAGAAAAAAAAATTTGAAGAATCCCAAGTTCCAACAGCTTAAGGTACTGTAAACATTGCAATTATTTTCTGGAATTGTCTGAAATTACATAGAATTTTACCAATTTCCAAAAATTACTTTTTTTTCAGAAAAATCACATTTCCAACCTAAAAAATCCCTCTAGATCCCACATTTTCGGTCTAGAATTCTCAATTTTGTCTGAAATTTTAGAGAAAATCCCCAAAAATCGATATTTTGAAACTAAAATCATAGGGAAAAAGAAGAAGAGGAAGAAGAAGAGAAGTTGGTCTATGGGTGGTGTGCAAAGAGAAGACTGGCTAAATAAACACATATATTGGACAAAATATACATAGAAATGGATGTAAAATTATTGAAAATCGCTGAAAACGACCTAAAAATCATTTTTGAAAATGCGAAATTTTTTGAATTTTTTGAAAAAAAATTTTTTTTTTCACCAAGACTTTTTTCAGCTAAAAATTTGAGAATTAGCCATTTTTCATGTTCTTAATGATTTTCAAGTGATTTTTTCAGCTATTTTACCTCAAAAAAGCTCTAAAAACCATTCAAATTAGACTGGAGCGCCTTTGCCGCGTTTAAGGCGAAAAATGTCGATTCCGACCATTTTTCATGGGTTTTTCGATGATTTTTCATGTAAAAATCGTTTATTTCTCAGAGAACACATTGAAAAATGACGGACAAATCGGGTATTTTTGAATAGAATCTATTGTGAAAGGTGTGTTATGTAATCGGATTGAAAAGAGAGAAAAGCCACAAAAAAAATGGGCGAAAAGTGCAGGGAAATGAAATTTTGATGGGGAAAATGAGGAGAATACGAATTTTTGGTTCAGAAAAGTTTTGGAATTTTTTGGAAAAAAATTCAAAAAAAATTTTTTTTCGAATTTTTGATTTTACCATTTTTTGGAAAAAAAAACTGGATTTTTTTCTATTTTCAGATTGCTCAGCTTTAGAAAAATTAAGTTTTCAAAAAAAAAAAGATAGACGGGTGAAATAATTGAGCAAACTGTTTCACCTCTCAATTTTCCAATCTTCTCCCCCTCCCTTTAAATTTTTTTTTCGCTAATATTTGCTTAATTTTTGCGAAAAACCCCAGAGGAAATACTTCCTCATATATGTCTATGTATATAGTTTTTGAATGGTTTGGCGGGAAATTTGAAATTTTGGAAAAAAAAATTTTTGGAAAAAAAATTTTTTTTTTAATTTTTAATTTTTCGAAAATTTTAGCTGTTTTTAGATTAATTTTAGATTATCTTTTTCGAGTTTTAGGGTCTTTCAAACTGATTTTTCAGTTTTTAGCGTCTTTTTAGGCTTTTTCAGACATTTTAAGCATAGTGACTCACCCGGAGACATTTGTCATTGAATACGACTCGACGACCGCATGCGGTTGCTCATTCATTCCCCGCCCGTCCCCGGAAACTTCTGGAAATTGAATTTTAAGCAAAAAATCGATAAAATCCGGCTGGCTATGAATGTCGGTTGATTCGATGGGGAAAAGGCGGCAAAATGGCAAATTTCTATAGATAGAAACCTGTTAAAAGTGTAAAAAACGGGTTTTCAGCGAAAAAAACACTAAAAACAAGCTAAAAATCGATAAAATCGGTGAAAAATCGCTGAAAAAATTAAGAAAAATCCTACTGTAGCACATTTAAAGGCGCAGCGCCAATATCGAAAAAGAAAAAACACGGAAAATAGTGATTTTCAGGGATTTTTTTTCAGCAAAAAAGTAGCAAAAAAAAGACACAAAATAGAAAATGGGACTTTTTAAAATGTTGTAAAATGTTAAACAAACTGCAAAAAAGCTCAAAATTCGTTTAATAAAATAAAGTATACGGTATCAAATTTAAAGGCTCATGTTCAGTGTTAAGATTTTAAGCGATTTTCAGGGGGTTTATTGGGGTTAGTTAATAGGGGGAAAACGAAAAAATACGTGTTTGACAAAGAAAATACATAAAATTAGCGATAATTTCCGCTTTTTAGCTTCACGATCAGGCCAAACGTGGCAAATTGTTCTTTCTCTGCTTCTCTGTCGCTCTCTTAGTCTCTCTCCCTCTCGTTTTCACCCCAAAATCGTAGCGGTCGCCGCTCTCTATCTTCATCCTTTTCCTTCTTTCCCCCCGTCTTTTTCTCTGCGTCTCCCCTGAATTGTCACTCTCTCGTCAGCAATCCGCGTGTCCCCTTCTCTCGCGATGTTATCGCATTTCTGGTTGGCTCTGCGTCTCTCACTCTCTCGCCTCTCTTTGAATTTTTGTTATTAGAAAAAGAATTGGGGTTAGGTCTCAACCAGTTCTGGGGATAAGTTTTTTTTGAATTTTTAAAAATTTCGAAATTTTCAAAAAAAAAGTTTTTTTTCAAAAAATTTTTCCAAAATTGCTTATCAAGGTCTTACAATCCCAGGAAATCAAAAATTTTGAAAATTCAAAAAAAAAAAGAATTTCCAGAAACTTTTTTTTTCAAAATTTCTGAAAACGAAACTGAAACTGAAAATTGTTTCCGCTGATAACGATTCTTTCCACTCAACGTACTATATATTTATGATAAGAACCGTCTTAAAATTGTTGCTGTGGGCAAATATTGAAATTTGAAGTTTTGAGAAGGGAAAAAAGTGCAAAGTTCAGTTTTTGGATTTTTCGTAAATTCGGAACTTTCGAAAATTCCAAGTTTCCCGAATTTTAGGATTTCTGGAGTTTGGAATTTTCAGTTTTATGAATTCAGATTTTTGAACTTTTTGAAATTCCAGAAATTTTGAAATTTTGAAAATTTAAGATTTTTGACTTTTCTGAAAAAATTGAAATTTCCGAATTCCGAGATTTTCAGAAAATCTGAATTGTGTGAAAATTCATTTTAACAGTGTTTTTCAAATTTTTCAAATTTTTGAAAATTTTGAAAAATTCGAAAATTCCAAGTTTTCGGAATAAGAAACTTTGGAATTTTGAAAACTTTCTGAGTTTAAGAACTTTTTTAAAAAGTCCAGTATTACTGTAATGTTCAATTTTTTGAAATTTTGCATTTCAGGATTACTGTAGATTTGCAAAGTTGATATTTTAGGATCATTGTAGCTTTAAAAAAAATATATATAGTTTAAGATCCTGGAAGATTATAAGCTCAGGGTTACTGTAGATTACTGTAGATTCTCAATTTTTTGAGATACTGAATTTCTAGGAATACTGTAGTTTTTTGTGAAGTTTGAAAACTTTCAAAATTACAGTAGATTTTGAAAATTGCGATTTTAAGATTACTGTAGTTTTTCCAAAAACTCTGAATCAAAACTCTATTTTCTCAGTATTACTGTTGCTTCTCAAAATTCCAAATTTTTTATCTCACCGTAATTTATCTTTCCAGAAACTTATGATTTGAAATAACTACAGTAATCCTTAATAGGATTACTGTAGTTTTTTGCAAAATTTTGGAAGTTTTTGGGTACTGAGGATTACTGTAACTCGTTATTGAAATTCCAAAAAAAATGAAATTTCGAAAATTATAAAAAAAATAGAAATTTTCAAAATTTCAAATTTCCGAATTCAAAGTTTAAAAATGACGAAATTTCGTATTCTGTATCATCATCAACATCACGAGTTTCTTATCAATTTCTCCTTTCTCGAAAACCAAAAAAAAATTGTTTTTGAAATTTTTTCCAGAAAAATGCTCCGACCAATACTGTATTCCTCCTGGCACTCTTCATGCTCATCTCGTGTTCGAATCGGTAATTTTTGGGATGAAAATTTAAAAAAATGCTTAAAATTTTTTTTAATTTTTTGGTAATTTTAGACATTGCAATGAAAATTTTAAGAATATTTCAAAATTCTAGAAAGCCAAAAAATCAGAATTCAGAATTCAAAGTTCAAAATAACAAGAGATTCTCGTTTTTCGTATCATTATCACTATCACAAGGTTCTTATCAATTCTCGCTTCTTTTTTCTCAAAAATCAAAAAAAAAATTTTCGAAAATTTTTTTTAATGCTTCGACCATTATTATATTCCTCCTGGAGCTCTGGATGCTCATCCCGGGTTCGAGTTGGTAATTTTCAATTCTTAAAAAATCAATAAATCGATATTTTCAGCTTTGGCACTCAAGAAAATAGACTATGATTATCATGCGATCAACCTTAGAGATACAGAAGCTGAGGTACAGTAATCCAAAAGAACTACAGTAATCCAATTTTCTACTTCAGAAAGATTTTGCCGCCAATAATCCTGCGAAAAAAGTGCCAATTTTGAAAATCAACGATTTGACACTGACTGAATCAATGGCAATTATTGAGTATTTGGATGAAGTCTTTCCAGAACCCCCACTTCTTCCGAAAGATTCCGCCCAGAAGGCTCATGCAAGAGCTATTGCTTTTCATGTGTGTGAAAATCTGAAAATAGGAAAAAAAATCAGAAAAAATGAGCCAGAAATCATGGAAATCGAGTTGGAATGAGCTTGTTTGGACCATAACTCTTTGAATTTTCAAATTTTTGTTTTGAAAATTTAATATTCAGATTTGTGAGGTTAAGAGCTTCAAAATGAGCATAAACATGCCTATGTTTGAGGAAAGCGAAATTTCCAAAAATTTTGGGTCCCAGCACGAAAATTTTCAAATTTTCGAATTTCAACTAACCTAGACATGTTTATACTCATTTTGAAGCGGAAAATGTGAGAAATTCGACTATCTAAGTTTCATAAACTTTGAACAACAGTTTGAAAAGTTAAGGGGGGTTTTCTAATTTTCGAGAGAAACTAAACTTTCAAATTCTTCTAACTTTGCTATTTTCGTTGGGTTTTCATGATTTTTGAAAAAAAAAGCTTGATTTATTTTCAAATTATAAAAATAGAATACTCTGAAAAAATACATGTTTCAGATCACCTCTAACATTCAACCACTCCAAAATTTGGCGATTGGCAAGATGTTGGATGAGAAGATTCCGGGTTATGGGTTGGAGGTAATTTAAAAATGATAGAAAGTTGAATCTAGCGTGTTGGGAGCTTCGAAATGAGCCTAAACACGAATAGAATTGGTTAAGTTTGAAAATTTAGAAAGTTTTGGGTCCCACCACAAAAATTCGAAATTCACCAAACTTAGGCATGATTACACTCATTTTGAAGCTCTTAACAAGACGATTTCAAAACTATCAAAACTTTCAAAATCAGATAAAAACTGTCATAGTTACATTCGTTTTTCAAAATTTTGGGTCCTACCACGAAAACTCGAAAAATTCAATTTTTATCAAACCTAAGCATGATTATACTCATTTTGAAAGTTTTTTCAAGCTGAATTTAGAAATGTGAATAAAATTGATGTATAATAAGTTTTGAAACAGTTACAGCCAAAAAACTCAAAACATCTGAAATCGTCGATATTTTTTTTTTCCAGTGGTGCCAATTTCACATCAAAAAAGGATTCGATGCTCTTGAGAAACTTTTGGGTCTCTATTCTGGAACATTCTGTGTTGGAAATCAAATCACAATTGCCGATATCGTTCTGCCGTCGATTGTCTACAACGCCATGGAAAAGTGAATTTTCAAAAAAAAAAAGTTTTTTTTTTCGAAAAGATAATTTTTCAGATATTCCGTCGATATGACACCGTACCCGAAAATTGCTGAAATCAACAAAAAACTGGCTGAAATTCCCGAATTTCAGACAGCGGAGCCAGCTCGGCAACCGGATGCACCGAAGGACCAAAAAAATTGGGGAGAAAATTTGGGTTTTAAATGAATCAATGAAGAATTTTAATATGAGCAATCCAGATTTTTTGTTGAAAGATTCAGTGGGAGAGACGCAGACAGTTAGATAGTCTGGCTTCTCTGTACTTTTGAACTTTAAAGGCGCATAACTCAAAAACTAGAAAGGCTAGCGAAAAGTTGTAAACTACAAAAATGTATGAAATTTTATGCTAAGAATTGTGTAGTTTACAACTCTTCGATAGCATTCATGGTTTCTAAGAAATGCGCCTTTAAACAGACCCAGAGGAAGAGAAAGATCACGACCTTTTACAAAGTTCGCTAACTTTAAAGCCGCATATCTCGCTAACCTTGATAGCTATGTATAAATAAATTACAAACGACAAAAATATGTACAATTTTATGTTGGGCAATTTTGTAGTTTGTAATTTTTGTCTAGCTGTTTTAGTTTCTGACTTATGCGCCTTTATAGCCACAGAATGACAGGTGCGATAACATTAAAGGCCCATATCTAAGCAACCCTTATAGCTATAAAAAACTTACAAACTACAAAAATGTGCGAAATTTTATGCTGAGTAATTTAATTGTTTACAACTTTTTAATAGCTACCGTAGTTTTAGAGATATGCGCTTTTAAAGTTAGCTCATCTAGCGCATCCTCCACCCGTTGCCGCCGCCGCCGATGGGGTCGCCTAACTTTAAAGACGCATAACTCAAGAACCGCATAAGCCATGATAAAACTACAAACTGCAAAAATGTGTAAAATTTTATGCTAAACAATTTTGTAGTTTACTACTTTTTGGTAGCTACCCTAGTTTTTGAGATATACGCCTTTATAGTTAGCTTGCGCTCCTTCCCCCCGTTGCCGCCACCGCCTCCAATGGAGGCGTAAACTTTAAAGGCGCATATTTCAGCAACCCTTATAGCTATGAAAAAAATGCAAGCAACAAAAATGTGTAAATTTTTATGCGGAGCATTTTTGTAGTTCGTAATTTTTGTCTAGCTGCTCTAGTTTTTGAGTTACGCGCCTTTAAAGTTGGCTCGCCCCGGAATCGGCATAAAAAAGAAAAAATGGCGGAGAGGAACAAGTTTATCGAATCGATCGTTGTAAAAATGAAATTTTAATATAAAGGGAATTCGAAAATTTGAAAATTGACAAAAAAATTGGAGAAATTCAAAGCATATAGGGAGCAAAAGCAAGCAATTTGAGGGGAATTTGGGGAATTCACATAAAAAAACATTAGGCGAAATTGAAATTTTTTGGGTGGTGATGGGGGGTTCTTGGGCTCAAAAAGTCACTCAAATCAATACTCATCGCCCTCCTCTCCATTATCCTCGAGACTATCGACACCAACTTCCTCGTAGTCCTTCTCCAACGCAGCCAAATCCTCACGAGCCTCCGAGAACTCGCCCTCTTCCATTCCTTCTCCAACATACCAGTGGACAAATGCTCTCTTGGCGTACATAAGGTCGAATTTGTGGTCCAGGCGAGCCCAAGCCTCGGCGATGGCCGTGGTGTTGGACAACATGCATACGGCACGTGGCACCTTGGCTAGGTCACCTCCTGGGACGACGGTTGGTGGTTGGTAGTTGATTCCGACCTGGAAAACTTGATTTTCTGATTTTTCTGTTAAATGGAAATTAAAGAGCACGAAATTTCCTAAATTTTTGTAATTGATAGTTTTCTCATAGTTGTTATAGTTGTTGAGATATGCGCCTTTAAAGTTAAGCTACCCCTACCGGTGGAGAAGGGAGGAGCCAGGCAGGCCTAATTTAAAGATACATATCTCAAAAACTAAGCTATTAAAACTTGGTACATTGTAAATTGCTCAGCATAAAACTTCACACATTTTTGTAGTTGACAATTTTTAACTAGCTATCACTGTGTTTGAGTTATGCGCCTTTAAAGTTAGGCAACGGCGGCTGCGGGGAAAAGGGGGAGGGTGTTTCTCCTTTAAAGGCGCATAACTCGAAAACTACGGTAGTTACCAAAAAGTTGTTAACTTCAAAGTTGTTCAGCGTAAAATTCTAAACAAACTTTGATTTTCAAATTCCTATAGATTTTTTTAGTTTTTGAGGTATGCGCCTTTAAAGTTAGGTGAGTCACACTAGCGGTGGATGCGGGGGAAGAATGTGTCTTCTTTAAAGACGTATAACTCAAAAACTACTGTAGCTATCTACAAAAATTTCATTTTTTCAAATTCCCATAGCTTTCTTCATTTTCGAGTTATGTCCCTTTAAAATTTCATTTCTCTACGCTCTCTCCACATTCCACGCTATTTTACCATTTGGTCACTATTTCCCCACATCTAACCAAGAAGTCAATACACCCCATGTTGTTTGTTTGATTCAAAAATTGAGAAAAAAGAGGAAAGTTACACAAAAGTGACGTTTTTTTTCTATAAAAACTGATACTGCTTGAAATTGAGAAAAACTTTGGGATTTGAAAATAAGGGATTATGGGAAGCTCAAATTTGAGAATTCCATTTAAAATAGATAGAAAAATCAAATTTAGCTCATTGAGAGCTTTAAAACGAGTATAAACACGACTAGGCTCCGCCCATTTTGAGTTTTTGGTTAGAGACACAGTGTGTCTAGTTTCTCTGCCCTCTCAACTGTAAAACTACCGTATCTCAGCTAGATTCTGCCCAAGCTTCTGGAAAATTGTATTTTTGGAATTGTCACATTTAGGGTTTTAAACTGAGTATAATCATGACTATAATTGGTCAGAAGCGAAAATTTCAATTTGGTCCATTTTTGGAATCAAACTGTAAAACTACCTTACCTCAACTGGTCTTGGTCTAAACTTGAATATTTTCATAATTTTGAGTTTTTTACGTTATGAGCTTCAAAATGAGTATAAACATGGCCATGTTCTTTTAAATTTGAAATTTGACTTTAAAGGCGCATAGCCTATGCGGCATAGAAAGGCGGAATTCCAAATTTGAAAGAAGTAGGTCGTGTGTACATTCATTTTAAAGCTCTTAACGCGCGAAACTCAAAAATAAGATTTTTTATCAAACTCATACAAGTGATAAGTGATATGTTACTTTTAACTCCCAAAATTATGAAAAAAAAAGTGCTTCAATTTAAAAATCCCCTGTAACTCTGTTCAATATAACCCAATTTTGCTAGTTTTCAGCTCAAGTTGTGTAGAATGTTTCAGAACAGTTTGGAATTTGTAAAAATAATAGGTTACCTTGAATCCAGTGGGACACCAATCCACAAATTGGATGCTTCTCTTGGTCTTAATGGTAGCGATAGCAGCATTGACGTCTTTCGGGACGACGTCACCACGGAACAGAAGACAAACGGCCATATATTTTCCGTGACGTGGATCACACTTGACCATTTGATTATGCGGTTCGAAGCACATATTGGTGATTTCAGCCACCGACAACTGCTCATGGTACGCTTTTTCAGCGGAGATCACCGGAGAAAATGTGGCCAGTGGGAAGTGAATACGTGGATATGGGACCAAATTTGTCTGGAATTCAGTTAGATCGACGTTGAGTGCTCCATCGAAACGAAGAGACGCAGTGATCGAGGAAACGATTTGGCCGATCAGCCGATTGAGATTTGTGTAGGATGGACGTTCGATGTCCAGGTTGCGACGACAAATGTCGTAGATTGCCTGAAAAATAATTTTTAAGAATACAATTTGTGAATTAAGCTTGATTAGAGCTTCTAAAATGAGCCCATACACGACTAGGTTTGCTTGATATTGGAGTTTGGCTGAATTTAAAGGCGCATAAGACAACTATGCTCAAAATTTTTAATTTAAAAGCACCGTAACTTCTCGGATTTCGAAATTTCCTAATCAAAGTTTAATTATCGAAATTGCCTCGTTGAGAGCTTTAAAATAAGCCCCCCAGACAACTAGGATCCGCCCACTTTGGGTTCAGAGACGCAGTGTGTCTCACTTCTCATCACTCTATCCTTTAACTTCAAAGGGTTGTATCTTAGTCAGTTTTACTTGGATTTTGATGAAAACTGTAGCGATATATTCGGCTTGATGAAAGATTCAAAATGAGCCCAAACACGACTAGGTTTGCTCGAAATTTAACTTGACTTTAAAGGCGCATAGGGGGTGTCAAGATTCAAAATTTTCAAAAGTGTGGCTTGATTATACTTATTTTGAAGTTCAGGGCTCACAGAGCTCAAAAATATTGTTTCACACCATTTGAACAAAATTAGGTCGAGATACGGTAATTTAAAAAATTTCCAAAAAAGTCATTTTCAGGATCATTAACTAACGTAACTCCATGGATTTTAAAATTTTCGAACTCAAATGTTTGTTTTCCAATTCGCCACATTCAGAGCTTAAGAATGAGTATAAACACAACTAGACTCCGCCCACTTTGAGTTTTAAGGTTAGAGACGCAGTGTGTCTGGTTTCTCTGCGCTCTCTCCACCGTAAAACTACCATATCTCATCTGGTTTTTGTCCAAACTTGAACAATTTTATATTTTCAGTTCTCTCGCGTTATCAGCTTCAAAATGAGTATAAACATGCCTATGTTGACTCGATATTACAACTTTCTAAATTTTCGGGTCCCACCACGAAAAACGCGAAATTTCAAAACTAACCAAACCTCGTCATGTTTATACTCATTTTGAAGCTCCTTTCAAAATAAACACAAATGTCGAAATTTCATCTAGGAGGGTTCGATTTTGAGAGAGTTACGATACCTTAAACTTTTTGACAAAATTTGACTTTTTTTCATAAATGTGGCCGTAACTTGTTTCATTGTTGTTCAAACTTAGCGAATTTTAAAAATTGGATTTTCATGTTTCCAGCGTCAAAATGAGCTCAAACACGGCTGGAATTGGTGAAATTTGAAAATTTTCGAAAATCAATCGGTCCCACCACGAAAATCGGAAATTTCAATTTTGAGCAAACCCAGTCTTGTTTAGGCTCATTTTGAAGCTCGAAACATGAACAATTCAAAAATTTAGTTTATTTCAATTTTAAGGGAAAATTCAAAAAATTACGGTTGATTCCAAGTTTTTTCAAATCCCAATTTTTTACGATTTTCAAACTTAACCGAATCTCAGCAAATTTAGGCTTATTTTAAAGCTCTTAACCTCTAAAGTTCAAAATTCTCATATTCAAACTTTTCTTACCTCATTATCAACCATGAATGAGCAATCGGAGTGCTCCAAAGTGGTATGGGTGGTCAGAATGGAGTTGTATGGCTCCACGACAGCAGTGGAGACCTGTGGAGCCGGATACACCGAGAACTCCAATTTCGCCTTTTTACCGTAATCCACAGAGAGTCGCTCCATCAAAAGGGAAGTGAATCCGGATCCAGTACCGCCTCCAAACGAATGGAAAACCAAAAATCCTTGTAGTCCGGTACAGTTGTCAGCCAGACGACGGATACGGTCCAGGGTCAAGTCGATGATCTCTTTTCCAATTGTATAATGACCACGGGCGTAGTTATTAGCGGCATCTTCTTTTCCGGTGATCAGTTGTTCCGGATGGAAGAGACTACGGTAGGTGCCGGTGCGGATCTCGTCTGGAACATGTTTTTTTGTGGGGGGCAAATTTGAAGGCGCATATCTCAACATTCTTGAGAGATAGAAAAAAACGATAAACAACAAAAATGTATAGAATCTTATGCTGAGCAATATTGCAGTTTAGAACTTTTTCATAAATTTGCTGGTTTTTGAGATACGCGTCTTTAAATTTATCGCGTCTCACGAAGCCAGTAAGGGCGCGTCAAATTTAAAAGCGTATATCTCAAGAGCCAGCGGAACTATCTAAAAGTTGTAAACTACAAAATTGCTCAGCATAAAATTTCCCAAAATTTCCGGCTTTTCCAATTTTTGTAGCTTTCTTCGTTTTCGAGTTATGCGCCTTTAAAAGTGGGCGACGCCCATCGGCAGTAGCGGCGGCGGCGATGGAGGAGCGCGAGCCAAGTAGTTCATCTTTAAAGGCGCATATCTCAAGAACCAGCAATATTATCAAAAAATGGTAAACCAAAAAAATGTGCGGAATTTCATTTTACACACTTTTGTAATTTACAATTTTTTGATAACTGTATTAGTTTTTGCGGTATGCGCCTTTAAATAGACGGTATCTCTAGAAATCTACCTTCTATATCATTTTTTGTGCTTTCTTGATCCCTGCTCATTTTTCCCCTATTTTCTCATCCCAAGACTAGATGAGATGAAGGCTCAATGAGTTTTTATGTGTTTCCCCCTCCCCATCTCTTTTGGGGTGTTTCCCGTTTTTCAATGAATATCCAATGCGGCCCATTTTCCTCTTCCTCTTCTCCCCCAGTTTTTATATGAATAGTATAGGAAGAAGGAAGAAAATATGAACAAGTTTTTGGGAACTAGAAACTTTCTTTTTTTGGGAAAACGTTTTGGTGAAAAAGTGAAGAATGAGGTTCCAGGAGGAGGAGAGGAACCCCTCTTGGGATCAACTCCGAAAACAACAGAAAGAAATGGGTCCTAACACGAAAACAAATGAGATTTTTAGAAAATAGCATTAAAATTCAAATCTGGGACGTTTAGAGCATCAAAATGAGTATAAACATGCCTAGGTTTGCTTAAAAATGAAATTTCTGGATTTTTGTGGTGGGACCCAAAACTTGAAAATATCGAAGTCAAGCAAAACTAGTCGTGTTTAGACTCATTTCAAACCTCGCAAAAAGATACGCTCAAAAATATTAGTTTCACGAAATCTGTAAAAAAAATGAAGGTAGTTACGGTACAATTTCCAAAAAAAGCTGAATATTCGAGTAAAATTAAAAGTTGCTCTAACTTCTAAAAACTCGTCTGAAATTATGCAATACATTGATCTCTGAATTTTTCATGTTCTTAGATTTGAAATGAGTATAAACATGCCTAGGCTCCGCCCATTTTGGTTTTTCAGACGTGTCGCGGTCGTGCGTCGCGTGCAGAACGGGGAAAATCTAAGTGGGCGGAGCCTAGTCGTGTTTATACTCATTTTGAAGCTCTAACTGTAACAAATTTAGCTGAAAAAGTTTCATCAAAAGATAATGAAAAATTAAAAAGTTATGAAATTTTCGAAAATTTTCGAAAATCGGAAAAAAGTTTTTTTTTGGAATTTCAACACTTTATTCTTTTTTTTTTCTTCAAATATGCACTTGTATTTCTATTCCCAAACACTTTTTTCCCATTCTGTGTGTCCCCTCTTTTTGAAAATTGTATGTTGGCAGATGTCCCCTTTTTCCCATTTTCGGAAAGTCTAATTGCATCAGAAGAAGAAGATGGACCAGCAACAGACGAGAAATGAAATGAGCTCTCTTTAAGAGCATTTCTTTAGGTTCTTTTGAAAATTGGAAAATATGCCGCCGCTTCTTAGAGAACGGCCTGGATTGCGAAATTGCGAAATTTTGAAAATTTCGGAATTACCGTAACTTCTCGGATTTCGATTTCTTTTTTGATTTAAAAACGTTTTTTTAGATTTGCCACATTTAGAGCTTAAAAATGAGTATAAACACGACTAGGCTCCGCCCACTTTGAGTTTTAAGGTTAGAGACGCAGTGTATCTACCGTAAAACTACCATAACTCATCTGGTTTTTGTCCAAACTTGAACAATTTTATGTTTTCAGTTTTCTTACGTTATCAGCTTTAAAATGAGTATAAACATGACTATGTTCCTTTAAATTTGAATTTTGACTTTAAAGGCGCATAGGAGGTCCGAAATTCGAATTTTCAGGATAGTAGGTCATGTTCATACTCATTTTGAAGCTAAAAACATGACTAGTTCCAGTTTTTGATTTTAAGTGCTGCAAAATGAGTATAAACATGCCTAGGTGTACTTCATTTTGAGTTTTTCGAAAATTTCTGGGTCCCACCACCAAAATTCGAAAATTTTAAAATTCAGCAAACCCAGTCATGTTTAGGCTCATTTTGAAGCTGAAAACAAGATAATTTTGAATTTTTCAATTTTAGAGCTTCAAAATAAGTATAAACACAACTATGTTCCTTTAAACTCAAAGAATGACTTTAAAAGCGCATGGGGGGTCCGAAAATCGGAATTTTCTAAAGTAGGTCGTGTTTATACTCATTTTGAAGCTGGAATCGTGGAATATCTAAAAATTAAAGTTTTAGATATTCTGAGAAAAGATTCATGGATTTACAGCAAATTCAACTTTTGGTTGAAATTTCAGATTTTTGGGAATTATACCGTATTCGTTTTGAAATTTTGTTTAAACTATAAATATAGTATTTCCGTTGTTACAAAATTCAAAATGAGTATAAACAAGGCTAGGTTTGCTTAATTTAAAAATGTTTCGAAAATTTGGGTCCCACCACGAAAACTCCAAAATCTCAAAATTGACCAAACCTAGTCATGTTTACGCTCATTTTAAAGCTCTCAATTTCGCAGACATAAACATTGAGGTCATTTTGTAGATTTCTCATCCTAAATCCCACACACCAATGACAGTTGGCTCCAAGTCCACCATAATCGCTCTTGGAACGTGTCTTCCAGATCCAGTTTCAGAGAAAAACGTGGAGAATGAGTCATCGGATCCTCCGAGGGATTTATCAGATGGCATTTGACCATCGGGTTGAATTCCATGCTCCAGACAATACAATTCCCAGCAGGCGTTACCGATTTGGACTCCGGCTTGTCCGATGTGGATCGAGATGACTTCTCTCTGCAAAATTTATAATTGGAAACCGTTCAAAAACTAAAAATCTGGATTTGTTTTCAAAAATGCTTAAAAATGAGCCCAAACAACACTAGGGTTCGGTTAATTTTGTATTTTGGGATATTTTCACTGTCAAGTTTTGAAACTACCGTATCTCGACTCAATTTCGTTCAAACTCAAAAATGTTCAAAGTTCCTAATTTGTCATGTTGAGAGCTTCAAAATGAGCCCAAACACGACTAAGCTCCGCTCACTTTGGTTAGAGAAACAGTGTGTCTCGCTTCTCTGCGATCTAGCCTTTAGCTTTGAAACAATGTAACTTCTCTAGTTTTGGTCATATTTTTATGACAATTACAGTAATCGATTTGTTCGTATGAGAGCTTCAAAATGAGCCTAGACACGACTAGATTTGCTTGACCCCACGAAAAAACGAAATTTCAAGTTTTTCAAATCTAGTCATGTTTAGGCTCATATGGAAGCTTCAGAGCAACTGAATCAATTGCTCCAATTATGCTCAAAAGCAGTCCAAAATGAACGAAGTTACAATCCTTTGAAGTTGAAAGGCTAGAGTGCAGAGAATCGAGACACACTGCGTCTCTAACCTCAAAACTCGAAATTGGGGAGCCTCGTCGTGCTGGGGCTCATTTTTAAGCTCTAAATCTCCAGAATCTGAAAACGTTAAAAATTCTGAATTTAGAAAAAAATTAGATGAGATACGGTAGTTTTACAGTTTGAAACAGAAATTTTTCAAAAATCGAAACTATCCGAACCTAGTCGCGTTTAGGCTCATTTTGAAGCTGTTAACAAGCCAGAACAAAATTTGAACCTAGTTTCCACCAAAAATTAACTGCAAAGTGTTTCTAGATGACTCCTTTTATGGACCCCCCCCTTGCCCCCTTCTTTTTGGGCGTCTTTTAAAGGGGGTCCTTCTTTCTGGTCGGTTGAATTGGCAACATGGGTTCTACCGGATGTCCGGTAAAGCACAGCACTGACAGGTGCGCAGAGCACCTTGTTGCTCAATGAGTTGGAAAAAAAAGAAGAGGTCAGAAATTTAAGGGTAAGGAACGAAGGGGGGAAACGGGTGTTGAAGTGGAAAGTCTTAATTTAAATTTCCGGATTTTCTGGGGGCCCGAAAAGGTGGTGACGTGGAAAAATGGGTCACTAGGAATCAGGAAGTTTGAATTTTGAAAAATTCAGAAATTCAGAAATTCAGAAATTCAGAAATTCAGAAATTCAGAAATTCAGAAATTCAGAAATTCAGAAATTCAGAAATTCAGAAATTCAGAAATTCAGAAATTCAGAAATTCAGAAATTCAGAAATTCAGAAATTCAGAAACTCAGAAATTCAGAAATTCAGAAATTCAGAAATTCAGAAATTCAGAAATTCAGAAAGTTTGGAAATCCCAAAAAGTTGGAATCCGAGTATCCCGAAAATTTCAAAAGCAGCCTGAAAATCTGAAACTGTTGAAAATTTTGAAAACTCGATTCTAGAAGGTTCGAACCTGAAAATTCTGGAAAAAAAAACCCTAAAAATACCGACTTTTTGAATTTCAGAATATTTCAAAAGAATTTCTGAAAATTGTATTTTTTCAAAATTTCAAAATTTACCAATTTAAAATTTACCAATTTCTAGAAGCCTCTGAAAAAGGTTCTAAACTTTCAAACAATCCCATAAAACTTTTTTTTTTGATAATCCCAATATTCAAAAATGACATTTTTCAAAAAAAATTCCTAATTTTTAAGATACCCTTTTTTTAATGGAAAAAACCACTTACCATTTTGTTCTTTTTTTGGGTCCTTTCAAAAAAAAAAAGAAGAGAAAAGAGACGAGTTGTTGTTGTTGGGGGGGTCTGTTCTGGGATGTGTTGGGGTGCTCCAAAAAGGGCGGCACTTTTTTCTTTCTCTCTCTCTCTCTTTTTCTCTGCGTCTCTCTCACCCTCTCACTCTCTCTCTCTCTCTTGCTCTTTCTAGACTCCGCCCACTTTTGTTGCTCCATCTTCTTGTTGAGAAGATGCACCATGTTTCGAAAAACGAAGAAAAGAGAAGAAGACGAAAAAATGTAATTAGATGAAATTTTCCCTAAAATAGGCATTTTTAGACATCACATTTTGCAGAAAACATTTGAGAATTTTTGAAAAAATTGTTGAAAATCTGAAAATCAAAAAAAAATTCCCGAAAAACGGCATCACAGGAGAAGGTAAATGGACCATAACATTCGGAATTGTTGAGATTTTGCACTGTAAGTTAGATATTCAAATTTGTGAGGTTTTGAGCTTTAAAACGAGTATAAACACGACTAGGCTCCGGCCGCCTTGAGTTTTGAGGTTCGAGACGCAGTGTGTCTCGATTCTCTGCACTCTCTTTACTGTAAAACTACCATATCCCAGCTGGTTTTGGTCCGAATCCAATTTTTTTTTTAAATTTTTAAATGTCTTGCGTTTAGTGCTTCGAAATGAGTATAAACTAAACGCGCCTGGGTTTGTTGAAGTTTTATTTTTGAGGCTTATTGGCGCATAGGGGGTCGGAAATTTCAAATTTGAGCAATCCTTGCCCTGTTGGAGCTCATTTTGAAGCGTTTAATGTGACGAACTGAAAAATATAGTTCTCATCAAATACTGACTAAAACTGGCAGAGTTACTGTAATATTTCATTTTTGGGTTTTTGGGTCCCACCATGAAAACTGAACATTTCAAAATCGACCAAACCTAGTCGTGTTTAAACTCATTTCAAAGCTTAAAATTTGCTTAACTCAAAAATATTAGTTTCATGAAATATGAACCAAATCGAGCCGAGATACGGTAGAGTTACCGAATTTCAGAAAATTGAAAGGTAATATTGACACTACCGTTACTTTTTTAACTTTTATTCATTTTCCAAAAAAAAAGTAATATTTTGAAATGTGCATATCAAGCGCTTCAAAATGAGTATAACCAAGCCTAGGTTTGCTCAAATTTGAAAAATCCAGAATTATTGGGTCCCACCACGAAAATATAAAACTTTCAAACTTCCGCTAACCTAGCCATGTTTATACTCATTTTGAAGCTCAAAATGTGTACAATGTAAATATTTAAATTTCAGAGACTTTGGACCAAAATTTGAAGAGTTGTGGAGTTTTGTTTTTATAAAGAAAAATAGGAAATTCTGAAAATTTCAGATTTTTTGCATTTTTCCCCAATACTACAATTTGAAATTCCATATTCCTCTTCTACTCCCAATTTCCTTCTCTCAGCCATCTGTCTCCTTCTAAAGGTCCCAGCATAAAGCAAACAGTATCAGGTTACCCATAGGCTCCGCCCCCTTATCTACAGTAGTCCTCTCGGCGAGAGACTATAGGGAAATAAGAGACGCAGAGAAAGGGACAGATGGGAAGAGGGTATTGGTTTACTTCGAGAGAAATCCGTAATGCATTTTTGGAGCATTTTTGGATTCTCAGTATTGCTCTTTGAGAATTGCTCAGCCTAGAATTCTCTGGCTCTTCTATACATTATCAATGCTCTTTTTTATTAATTTTTGGTGAGTTTTGGATCCTTGGGATGCTCTCTACCCATCATTAGATATGAATTTCGAGACGGGACCACCAATTTTTCATACATTTTTGATTTTCTTTTGTCTTGGGAGGGAAGATGCTCCTTCCTCAATTTGGGTCTTCTTGAAGAATGTCTTCTGATGAATTTCTGAATTCTGAATTTTGATGGAATAAGAAGAAATAAGGAGATGGGGACTATTTGGACCAATAAACAAGGAAGAAAATTCTGAAAAAATATTGAAAATCGGTCAAAAATATGGTTTTTGAAAATTTATGGGTTTCTAAATTTTTCGAAATTTTTCTGAAAAATTTTTCTGGAATTTTTCTGGAAATTTTAAAAAACTTAAGTTGAAATTTTGGGAATTTTCAGGAAATCTTGAACTTACCGGAATTTCGAATTTTCGAAATTTCAAAATTTTCAGAATTTGAATTTTCCAAAGTTTTCTGTAAACTCAGACAAAAAATTGAAAAATTTCAAATTTTAGAGTTTAGGGATTTTTGGAATTTTCAGATTTTTTTTCTAAATTTCAGAATTTCTGGACTTTCGATTTTTTCGAATTTTCGGAAAATTTGGAAATTTCCAATTTTCCGATTTTTCCAATTTTTCGAAATTCCCAAATTATGGATTTTTTTAGAAATACTTGAGATTTTCAAAATTCTGAAAAGTTTCTTTTTTTCGAATTTTTGGATTTTTGGATTTTTGGATTTTTTTCAAATTTTTTGGAAATTTTCGACAATTCTGTAAACTTCATTTTCTAAGTTTTCTGGAATTTGAAATCTCTAAAATTTTTCAAGTCAGGAATTTCTTTAAAAAAATTTTCAACTTTGAAAAATTCGATTTTTTCAGAATTACTCGAGGAATTTCGGATTTTCAGAAGTTCAGAAACTTCATAAGTTTCGAAATTTTTCATGGAACTCGAAATTTCCGAATTTTCGAAAGTTCTGAATTTCTCAAAGTTTTTTTTCTAAAATCCCAAAAAACCTCAAAAAATCCAAATATCCCTAAAATCTAAAATTTCCATTTCCCCCCCTGTCACATTGACTCAGAACACCAATTCTTCAAAATCGTCCTCCGATTCCCCCGACCACTAAGTGGTCTCCATAAAATCTGAGCAATAAATGTCTTTTTCTACATTTTCGGCCATTTCGGGCCGCCCAAAATGACCGAAAACGTATATTATCCCTAATCGGAGCACTTTTTGGCTCCAAAATCTTCTTCTCTGGGTCAAAAACCCTTATTTTCTATGTTTTTTCAGATTTTCCTAGGTAAGTTTGTCTTAAAATCCCTCATTCGCCAATTAGGACTTCACAACATGCGAATACCACCACTTCTATGGATATTCGTTGTTGATGAAGTCTTAATGGACGTCTGCGGGGTCCAGGTTTGAAGTGTTTTTGAAAAAAATCACATTTTTGAATTTATGGCATTACAAGCTTCAAAATGAGTATAAACAAGCCTAGGTTTGATGAAATTCGAATTTTTTTGAAAATTTCTGGGTCTCACCACGAAAACTGCAAATTTTCGAAATTTACCTAACCCAGGCATGTTTGTACTCATTTTGAAGTTAAAAACTTGCTGAATTCAAAAATATAATTTTCATTAAGTTTGAACAAGAACAGACTGAGATACGGTAGATTTCCAAAAAAAAATCGGAAAATTTTCAAAAAAGTTCAGAAAAACGGTTGTTGCAATAAATAAATTTTTCAATCAAAAAATGGATCAATTTTGAGATTATTCTCTCCGACATAAAGATTGTGACGAATGATGTCGGTCTTGAAAGTGATGATTTTGCAGAATGTTCCAGAAATGACAAATCTCGTTTCGACGCCTTCAACTGGTCCAAAGTCTCTCTGAAATTGATTTAAGTCAACAAATTTACATTTCCCGCGTTGAGAGCTTCGAAATGAGTATAAACAAGCCTAGGTTTGATGAAATTCGAATTTTTTTGAAAATTTTTGGGTCTCACCACGAAAACTGCAAATTTTCGAAATTGACCTAACCCAAGCATGTTTGTACTCATTTTGAAGCTAAAAACTTGCTGAATTCAAAAATATAAGTTTCATTAAGTTTGAACAAGAACAGACTGAGATACGGTAGATTTACCACTTCAGGCTTCAGAGCCGTTGTTCAAACTACCGTAACTCTCTGCATTTTCATTCGAATTCTGTGGAACTTATATTTTTGGATTTCCGGTGTTAAGAGCTTCAAAATAAGTATAAGCAAGCCTAGGTTTGGCAAAATTTGAAAATTTGACAATTTTTGGGTCCCACCACAAAAATTGAAATTTTCAAATTTCACCGAACCCATGCTTGTTTATACTTATTTTAAAGCTCTCGACACGGAAAATTCGGAAACTTTCCAAAATTTTGACTTACTGTAGATGTCAACAGTACCCCACGTCCCCAAACTGTCAATTCTCGCTTGTCTGAAAAATTAGGGGTTATTAGATATAATTAATGGTAATTCAACTTACCCAAGACGATTCTGGTTGCCCGATTCCCAATTATCGCATTCCATACATCGAATCTTTTATGGAATGCCTTTTTGTAGGATTCAAAAGACATTCCATTGACCTTAAATCAATTTGTTTGGGAAAATCAATTATTGATTGTTTACCTTTAAGATGTACTTGTTGTCATTTCCATCAAGTCTAATATAAACCGCACAAGTTGCTTTTTCGGTCTGTGCAAAATTTAAAAATTTTTTTAATTGAAATATTTTCGAAATTTTAAAAATTATGATCTACCGTAACTCGACCAACTTTGATATTATTCATTTGAAATTTATTAATTCGAGTTTTTAAAGTGGAAAGCTTCAAAATGAGCCCAAACATGACCCATTTTGGTCAAATTTCAAAATTTTGACCTCCAACCGCGACGCTTCCGCAACACGTAGGTCAAAATTGAAATTGAAGTAAACCTAGGCATATTTATATTCATTTTGAAGCTCTCGACAAGTCAAATCTATTAAAACTAGTCAAAACGATTTGTCGGCCGTCTGAAGGAAATCTAGGCTACCATGGACCAAACGTTTTTCAAAAATTTCGGTTTCGAGCAAACCTAGTCATGTTTAGACTTATTTTAAAGCTCTGCGTGCGCCAAATTCGAATTTCAGACATATTTTATATCTTACCGTAATCGATTGACGGTGCGGCAGCTCAAAAATATATGTTCCCCCTGGGCGAACATTACAATGTTCCAGATTGAGCTGAAAACAGAAAAAATCGATAATCGACTTTTTAAATTATCTACCGTATCATCCACAAAGACACTGGCCTCCTCGGCTACAGTATGGTGGCGGAATTCGACTGAAAAACGGTGAACACCAACTGGAATGGCCCATTTCAGCACTATGTTGGCCATTTTCTGAAGGATTACTGTATTTTTTCAAAAATCTGAAATTTCATTAAAATTAAGATAAGGTTTGGATGATATACCAGTTTTTTAAAATTTGAACAAATCTTTTAAAATGTTTATTTTTTTTACAAAAATATTGATTTTTCCATGTAAGTGAGAAAATCAATTAACTGATTCAATTAAGTGAGTAGGTAATTATCGATTATTTTGTGGTTAATTAGTGGTTAATTAGTGATTAATTAGTGTTGCAGGAAGCCGTATCTATCGGTTGCCGGAAAGTCGCCGGTGTTTTGGTCCACGATTAATGGAACTGGGATTGTGTCGTTGTTGACGAAGAGCGTATGGGTTATGCCGGCTCTAAAAATTTGACAAAATGTTGAAATTCAAATTTGGCGCGTTGAGAGATTTAAAATGAGCCCCCGCACGAC